TGCTGGAGGTATCCGTGTCAGCGAATCTACTGTGCATTGCATCATATACCAACTTTGAAGCCCCAGTTCAAAGTGTTCATCGTCTCTCTCTCTCTCTCTCTCTCTCTCTCTCTCTCTCTCTCTCTCTCTCTCTCTCTCTCTCTCTCTTATTTTAGAAGCCAGTCGTTAGTCAGCTGGAAAAACAGGGGCGGGCGGGGAAGGGGGATGTTGAAACTTGAAAATGTGAGTTTCCACTGAACAGGAGTACGGTGGAGAAAGAGAGAGATGTATGCAGAGAGAGAGAGAGAGAGAGAGAGAGAGAGAGAGAGAGAGAGAGAGAGAGAGAGAGAGAGAGAGAGAGAGAGAAAAGATGTTTAAACGAAGGTGTGATACAGTTTCTGCTGAAAAGAAGGAGGGGACAGAAAGAGAGAGAGAGAGGTGTAAGCAGAGAGAGAGAAAGAGAAAATGTTAAAACGAAGATGTGATAGTTTCTGCTGAAAAGAAGGAGGGGACAGAAAGAGATAGAGAGATGTAAGCAGAGAGAGGGAAAGAGAAAATGTTAAAACGAAGATGTGATAGTTTCTGCTGAAAAGAAGGAGGGGACAGAAAGAGATAGAGAGATGTAAGCAGAGAGAGGGAAAGAGAAAATGTTAAAACGAAGATGTGATAGTTTCTGCTGAAAAGAAGGAGGGGACAGAAAGAGAGAGAGATGTACGCAGAGAGAGAGATAGAAAATGTTAAAACGAAGATGTGATAGTTTCTGCTGAAAAGAAGGAGGGGACAGAAAGAGAGAGAGAGGTGTACGCAGAGAGAGAGATAGAAAATGTTAAAACGAAGATGTGATAGTTTCTGCTAAAAAGAAGGAGGGGACAGAAAGAGAGAGAGATGTACGCAGAGAGAGAGATAGAAAATGTTAAAACGAAGATGTGATAGTTTCTGCTGAAAAGATACCAAGTGATAGTGAGATGCAGCACGGTGTACCCACCCAGCCTAATCTACTGGTTCCATTGACTTTAACCTGTGGCAAAGCCCTTAGGCGTTTAATCTCTTTGCTAATAATCATTAACAGCTGTAGTTGGTTAAGCAGGATTTTTTGGGAGCAACTTAATTTACAGCAAGCCTCAATTAGTGTTTTTAATGTGGAATCTTCAGCTTAGATTGGTTGTCTCAGATGATTATAAGTGAGTAGGTAAGAAATATGACAAAAAGTAGAAACAACAATATTACCCAAACTACAAGACACTTTCACAATAATTAATCCAAAATGCGATATAGATATAAGACACAGACAGAAAGACAGACAGAAAGACAGACAGAAAGACAGACAGACAGGCAGGCAGACAGACAGACAAAGAGATAGGCATGTTGTGAGGCAGATACAGACAATGAGATAAGGTAGGATTAGATAGATACAGACAGACACAGACTGATAGATACAACCCTACCCAAATCACAAGACACTCGCAAGAGTGAATCCCCAAAAGAAATTACAAGAAACCGCGATTTATTCTCCAGCTCCTAGCTCTAACCCAACTCCCTTCCCGAAGTTCACATCAAAAACTCCCCCTTTGTCATTTACCCTGCTGTCGCCCAAAAAATGGGAAAGGGCTCATATGCTGTCACGCATGGCCTGCACCAAGAAAAGAGTGTTGAATTCTCTAGTCAAGCGACAAGCTGGTCGAAAGAAGAAGAAAAATAGCCGCCGCTCTGCGTCACCCGTGCGAAAAACGTGTCAAATATTTGCATAAATTTCAACACCTCTAAAAGTGCTTTTTGCCATAGGAATGATAATCCCCCGCGTCAGACCTCACAAAGGGATGTGCACCGTTCCGGGCACTTGATAACTCGACTGCATGAAACCAATACATGCTAGAAACAGTGGCATTGCTTCCAAGGAGTGATCAGGGCTGCCAACAGGATTTTTATTGTTGTTACAAAAACTCGCCTACACTGAACAAAAAACCTAAGCAATACATAAGCAAAAAAACCGGAAAAAACAACAACAGATTGTTAAAAAGTACTAATTGTATAGTTACAAAACAAAACATATTATTATTATTTTATTAGTAAAAGTAAAGCAAAGATCCCACTTTACGCCTTAGGCGCATCGGGCATATGGAAAGAGCACCCATATTTTTACAGACCATCGGCACTTGGTGGGTAATGTTGTCAGCATTACGCCAGCCGTCTTCACTTCCCCAAGACATCCATCCTGGTACCCATTTCGGCATTTAAGGATACTTTTTTTTAAACCCTAGATTTCACAAATTGAACCCAAAGAGTCATACAAAAACCCAGATCGGGCGGGAGGAAGGGGGGTGTCGAACACAGTATTGATAGCCATGGGAGTGTTGCTGCTAGATGGTCACGCTGAGTTAACAGAGAAAAATGGATCGGGGGGGGGGGGGCAGGGAGAACTAATCAAGAGCTCGACAATACACATTACTCAACTGTGATCTTTAACAGAGCACTGTCCCTGGTAGCATCTTATATCCTTTTCAGCTTTTTTTTTAACCATATATCAGCGGATGTGATTTCCGACTGCCGAAGGAATTTTCACGGGGGTAACAATATACATGGGCGTTCCAGCTTACTACCCAGAAAACAGGGGAAATTACTAGAAGTCCATGTAAAAACAAAATCCCAGCCTTCAAGGGGTTGCGAGATATGGTAAGGATGGTTTGAACAAGGGATCAATATCATGGCACAAGGGTAGTGCAACAATACACACGGGCGTTCAATCTTACTACCCAGAGACCAGGGGAAATTACTGGAAGTCCATATGAAAAGAAAAAAACCGGCCTTCACCGGGGCTTGAACCCCAGCACTCGAGGCGGACACTATGCATCGAGACCACTAATTCCTAGGGACTTCTCCAGAAGTTCCTACTGTACATATGGGGGTTAGGGCTAGGTTTGGTGTTAATCGGTGTCCATTTAGCAGTAAATCTACAACAATAAAACTGCTTTTGTTCTAGGCATGCCATGTATTAGCTGTTATCAGCATGTTTATCGTTTACTGCGCAATCATTTCCAGTTCATTTCGTTGGCTTGTCGACATCACTCTGCCCTATTTACAAGCGGTGTTCTTACTTCGAGACTTGACCTACGCCGCGAATTTCCTTGACCTGTCAGTAATCCTGCACCTAACCGGCGAGTATGACGCGAACACATGGAGACTCTTGCTTCTTTTCAGGGGGGAATCCCCAATGATGGTCCTTTTCAGGGCCCTCCCGCACCCCAAACACCAAAAGAAGCCCGCCCTAAAATATCCCCAAGTCGCAGCCCACTGGCTAGGTCTGCCCAACAGAAACACACCGGTTCAAGCCGAACTTTATGGGTCGCTAAGTGAAGTATAGAACACAGTGAAGTCAATACTGGATCCGACATTGTAGATATAGATAAATCTGATATCGGGCGACCGAAAGAAGAAGAGAAGATGAAGAGAAAACTAACCCGAACTCCCCTGTATATTTTATGACCTTTCGGGGAACTGCCTAGAATTCCATATTAAAACTCACAGCCTCCGAGATGGGGTGAACAACTGAAAATTACCGCATCAATGTGCAGCGGCAATGGTCCCTGTGTTTAAGAAGATGGGTCAATAGTCACTTTTAAAAACAAACCATGGATAACACGTACGGACAAAACCCATGGTGCATATCTCTAATCAAATTCATGACACGCATGGCTACACAAGAACACTCCACAACATTCTATAAATAAACAGAGGGGGGACCTTTGAGGCCGCTAAATATTATGAATTAATCAAGTAACAGAAAGTGTATTGATCGGCACTCATAGAAAGAAGTAGAAAGATAGAAGAACACACTAGACAACATAAAAATCAAAAGCTATAGTTATTGTGCCGGGAATGGAACCTGTCACCTCTAGACGGCATCTGCGCCTCGCCATGAATGCAAGTGCACTGAGAACATGGGCAACAAGGCAAACCCCCCCCCCCCCCTCCCCCCCCCCCCCCCCCCCCCCCCCCCCCCCCCCCAAAGGTGACCTATTGGCCATGTCTATCGTACAGCTTGAAATCCACAACTATGAAATACGAACAGAATTCATTTCAACCCATTGAAATGGCACCATAGGTTACAGAAGCATATGTCGAAAAACAATCACAGCAACAATTTACGAACACAGTAGATCTTATTGCTTTGTCTAGAATACACAAACATTTAAGAAAGGTATTTGATTGGTGTTCTTCTATCTTTCTACTTCTTTCTATGAGTGCCATTCAATACATTTTCTGTTACTTGATTAACTCCACAACAGGTTTAACTGAGTTACCCAGGGCCAACATGTTGAAAATAGAGATCGTCAAGGGCGAGAGATCCGAGCTCCAGTATAAAAAGATCATTAATACAATACAGTTAGCAACAACCAGCAAGCTAGTCACGTGCTATGCCTCTGTGGGCCGAATTCGGCCCGCGGGCTGCCAGCTGAATAACCCTGCTCTACAACGTGGGTAAAACAAATAGCAATGTGCGACTGTTGGACCAAAAGACAGCAAATATGCTAGAAATGAACGTCAAACGTTTCGCGTTTAAAAAGACTGGCATGCAGGCAGACATATAGACAGGCAGACAGGTAGGTAGGCAGTTAGACAGATAGACAGGCAGACATTTAGACAGACAGACAGGCAGGTAGGCAGTTAGACAGACAGACAGGCAGACAAAGACTGACAAGACAGCTATAAACAACAAAAAAAAAAGAGAAACGGAGACAGAAACAGATATTGAGAGACTGACACAAAGGCAGAGACAACAGAAGGCCTAAAAGGGGGAAAGATAGGCACGCAAGGGGAGAGAGACGATGAGAGAGACACATAGAGTCAGAGAGGGACAGAGAGGGGAGGAAGAGAAAGACGGTCAGAGAGAGAGAGAGAGAGAAGGAGAAGAGAGAGAGAGAGAGAGAGAGAGAGAAGAGAAAGACGGTCAGGCAGAGACAGGGAGGGAGAGAGACGTTTCTATGTACAAACTCACCTATGCCGTGAGTCGTGAATATTGAGACAATCCTTGATGGCGGTGGTGCCGGTGCCGTCGTCGCACAGGATGGCTGAAACTATTGGCCGGGTACTCGTTGTGCAGCCCCTCCATGGAGATGAAATACTGCCACTTCAGGCTGGGGAAGTACTGGATATTGCTGCGCCACACTGCGGACATAAACAACAGAATCTAAGCGATGGGTTTCCTGAAGTGTGATCTCAATAAATCGGACATAAACAGTATATTGTACATTTGTGGGCCTGGTGTATTTCGCTGTATCTCACTAGACGCATTACTAGAGTGCCATCAACATATGGTTAAAGGTTAGTTGCGTATCCTTTACATGAGGTTGCAGAACCAACCCCAGCAGCCCCTGGCTTTTGTGTGATTTTTTTCTAGGCAAATTTACGTCCAGTAGTTTGCCATTGCTTACTGGTCGGTCGGCTCCCTCATACTACTGTCGAAACCAACGCAAGGCGCATGGCCCGCAGCTGGGATCGAACCCGGCACCCCGGCATTACGAAGCGTCCAGCATCGACTTAGCCACAGAGCTGACAATAAACATATAAGTTTTTTTAAAAAAGTAAAGATCAATGCTCACGTCTCAGGCGCATCGGGCATATGAGAAGAACATCTCATATTTTTATAGATCAATCGACACTAGGTGGGGGTAATGTGGTCAGTCTTACGCCAGCCGTCTTTACTTCCCCAGGACATCCATTCCGGCAACCGTTTTTTTTTTTTCAGGGTTGACCTGCGACGCCCCATACCATGATAAAAAATCCACACAGCCAGCAGTGGGTTTTGATCGCGGTAAGTTGGAATTACGAGTCGGACTCGCAACGCCAAGGCCACGGACGCCGCCAATCAACATATACTGAAGCACAAAAATGAATCCTTTCCATTAAAACACACAACAAACAAAAAGCTGTGACTACAATAATGTCTTGGATACACGTACCAACATATTCGCTTTTCTTCTACACCACTTGTGGGATCTGTGGCTAAGTCGATGCGAACGCTTCGTAATGCCGGGATGCCGGGCCCGATCCCAGCTGCGGGCCATGTGCCTGGCGTTGGTTTCGACAGTGGTATAAAAAAAGCCGACCATCCAGAAAGCAATGGCAAACTACTGGACGTAAATTTGTCTATAAAAACCACACAACAGCCAGGGGCTATTGGGGCTGGTTCTGCAACGTCCTGTAAAGGATACGCAACTAACCTATACACCACTTACTTTCCGGGATCCCCATCCGATCCGATTTTCAGCAACAACAAAAATCGTCACGTTCAACCAGCATCCCCCCTAAGGGGAAGTGTTTTGGTTATAATTATGACTAAGTTTATGTGCGCCATTTAAAATGGCTTAACACTGCTCGCCACCAAGAAGCCCTGAAAAGGACTTTGTCAGTGCTGATGCGATTGTAGGCAAATAATTGTGCGGAATAATCATCATCATCTGCGGTGTCGGTAACCATTTATAACAGCGGTTATCAACCTGTCGGTCGCGACCCTTTCACAGGGGTCGCCTATACAACATTACAGAGGAGCAAGGTGTGTTTAAGAAATGGAGACCAGAGTGGGGAAAGTACAACATTATAACTTAACATAACATAGTCCTTGACCCATTAGGGTTGTGGAGGTGTTTTGATGGAAGCACTATCACATAAAACGCGCCATCTTTCTCTTTCTTTTGCCTGATGAATAAGTGTATGAAAACTTGGTCATGTCCATTTCTAGACTTTGTCACTCCAGTTTCTTCTTTGCTCTCCTCTTCTACGACCCCCCCCCCCCCCCCACCCTCATGTTTCTTGAAGTACATTCTCGGCAGTTGAATCATGTCTCACCACGTGTCCAAACCAAGCTGGCTCCTGATGTCCCGCAAATTTGTATTATTTTGTCTCTAACATATTTAAAGTGTTAAAGAAGTGTAGACAAGAGCGACAAAAGTACAACATAATAGTAGCGTGACGTGTTAAAGAAGTGTAGACAAGAGCGACAAAAGTACAACATGATAGTAGCGTGACGTGTTAAAGAAGTGTAGACAAGAGCGACAAAAGTACAACATGATAGTAGCGTGACGTGTTAAAGAAGTGTAGACAAGAGCGACAAAAGTACAACATGATAGTAGCGTGACGTGTTAAAGAAGTGTAGACAAAAGCGACAAAGATACAACATGATGGTAGCCTGACGTGTTAAAGAAGTGTAGACAAAAGCGACAAAAGTACAACATGATAGTAGCGTGACGTGTTAAAGGAGTGTAGACAAGAGCGACAGAAGTACAACATGATAGTAGCGTGACGTGTTAAAGAATTGTAGACAAGAGCGACAAAAGTACAACATGATAGTAGCCTGACGTGTTAAAGAAGTGTAGACAAGAGCGACAAAGATACAACATGATGGTAGCCTGACGTGTTAAAGAAGTGTAGACAAAAGCGACAAAAGTACAACATGATAGTAGCGTGACGTGTTAAACAAGTGTAGACAAGAGCGACAAAAGTACAACATGATAGTAGCGTGACGTGTTAAAGAAGTGTAGACAAGAGCGACAAAAGTACAACATGATAGTAGCGTGACGTGTTAAAGAAGTGTAGACAAGAGCGACAAAAGTACAACATGATAGTAGCGTGACGTGTTAAAGAAGTGTAGACAAAAGCGACAAAAGTACAACATGATAGTAGCGTGACGTGTTAAAGAAGTGTAGACAAAAGCGACAAAAGTACAACATGATAGTAGCGTGACGTGTTAAAGAAGTGTAGACAAAAGCGACAAAAGTACAACATGATAGTAGCGTGACGTGTTGAAGTGTAGACAAAAGCGACAAAAGTACAACATGATAGTAGCGTGACGTGTTAAAGAAGTGTAGACAAAAGCGACAAAAGTACAACATGATAGTAGCCTGACGTGTTAAAGAAGTGTAGGCAACAGCAACGAAAGTACAATACGCATTAGAGTAGCGTAATGTGTTGAACAAGTGGCGACAAGAGCGACGAAAGTACAACATTAGGCCAGCCGTTGCTAACGTTAAAATAACCCCGTCCAGATTTGTATACCCGCAAACATTATGTTTACCACACATAAATTTTTTAAGTCCTGAAAAGAAAGAAAAAAGCAATTCCTGCACACCAGGTGCGTGATAATAACCTGGTCGTTCTCTTTTAATCTCCAACCATAGGAGAGTTATAAATACGAACATCCAAAAGAGACCGCTTCACATGTTGTTTCCATTTGTTCAGATAAGGCTGGCCCGTTCACAGCGCACCTCTGGGAGCGCACATATTCTACGCGAACGGTCGCTGACTGCACGGCTGGCTTGCTAGCTAGCTACTCAACAGAGGCTATCTCCCCCCAGTCGCTTCAAAGCCATTCAGAAAACGGTTTAAACAAACAGGATAGGATATGATCCTAGCACGGGTATATATGAAGTTGTGCGCTCCCGTTTCATTTTCACACAATGGTGTCTTTCGTCGATCAACAGAACCGGATAAATACAAAACACTACTGTATCACAGAGGATAATTCAACATTTATAAAAACATGAGTGAAAACAAGTTGGGGGGATCCTCTTACTTCCCAGCCACTAGGATGCTCAACCTAACAACAAAAATCTTTGTCGAGAGTGTCGACTTCACTGCACAGGGTTTCATCCCTTATGGCTCGGTCTCTCTTCGTAGAACGGCAAGCCGCCTGCGGAGAGTATCGCTAAGAGTATGAACTCCGTAGCTCAGGCGATGATCGACAGGGATCTCCTTAAAATTGCACTTATAACATGAACGACGGAGCTGTGAAACGAACCCACGACCTTCAAAGCGCGAGGAAAACAGCTTGACCACGGAGCACCCCCCCCCCCCCCCCCCAACACCCACTCTTCTTCCCTATGCTCAACCAAAAGAGGACAAAAGAACACAGACAAACGAACTTTTTGATCAAGTATGTATCGGTTTTAAAAAAAAACAGAATTCTTTCAGGGCCAAACAGTTTGTATCGCCTGAGAATCCATCGCTGTACGGAGGAATCATGTGACAGCTCTGTGTCTCTTGCTTTCTTCTTTTAACTTCGCGTTCACAGGCTGTAAACTCCAGCTGAAAGACCTGGGCTTTTTTTCCGTCCAAGTCTGGAGTTTAGGCTTTTTCAGACTCGAGTTTTGCGTGCACACCCGTTTTACATGTGTGACATATCTGTATTCAGACTGTTGGTTCTTCGCCTCTCAGAGAAAAGCACTCCGAGTTTAAAGGAAGCACCCCTATACAGACGACTTTTACGGCACGCTTGTTAGGCAGCAGTAGGTCTAATCTTTTCTGCACCAATAGTGTGGCCTCGGAACCCATACAGTAAATTCTGTGTCTGAGATCGGAGTGCATGCGCATATGTCTAGTGTGTATACAAGAACGGGTCTCTGAGGTACATACAGCATATCATTTCAAATTATAGTGGAGAGAGGCTATATGGTAGCACAGTGGTTTATGCGCTATCTGTCAAAACTATGGTAACGGCTGAAACCTCAGCGAAGGCAGTATGACTTTTTCTCATACCAGTACGGATCAGAAAACCTCTTCGCGTTTACGCCGAAGAAAAGTTTTGGTTGTTCGTCCATTTCTGTACTTTAGTCTCCTTCCAGAACTCGAGTCCAGCGTGCACATCCATTGTACAGATCTGGTTTATTTACATGCAGACTGTTGGTTTCTTGCTTCTCATGCAGATACACTCCGAATTTAAAGGAAACTCCGCCCATTTAGTCGACTCTTAGTTAGTTAGTTAGTCTTTCCTTTTGTGTCGAGTGCGGCACATAGGGCAGAGGTCATGACTCTCCATGCATGGCGGTTCGTTGCAATCTGTTGTAGGTCTTGAATGTTTGAGTGGCCCATGAGTGAGTCTTCCCTGATGATAGTTCTACGTAGGGTTTCCCTTGGTCTTCCACGAGATCTTTTCCCCTGTGGTGTCCAAATGAGGGCTTGGTAAGGAAGTCTTGATTTTGTATCGCCTCTTACGACATGGTTTTAGGCAGACAGCGGATGTGTCTCCTTCCCCCCCCCCTCCCCTTTCCGCAATATAACCTGCAACTTATGCAGAGGTTCTGAAAGCACCGTCTTTACAAAAAAATAAGTACCACACATTTGTCTGGCTTGGGTGTTCATGAGAGATAGCAATAATAAGTCATCAGGTATCT